TTATTGTTGATTTATTAACGCTTATTCTGGAAATTATATTGATAAGACAGTGAATATATAAGTAAATTTCTTTTAATTGCATTCATAGTTTGCGCCATTGTCATCGAACATGTAATACAAGTAATCCTAGCGACATGCGTAATATGCGTATTATTTGGTAAGCATTGCACGAAAGATGTGAAAGAAGTAATTACTAATGTAAGAAATTTTTTTCAACAAGAAAAAGATAAAGGTGAACCTATAAATGTGAATGCCGTTGTTGCACGAAACCGCACAAGCTGTTGGATATTCGGAAAGAACTATTAAAAATATAAGTAAAGAATGCTCAGAATATGGAAATATAGAAGCTCCTAAAGAAAGATCTGGTCGCAAAAACATCGATTGTAACTATTTCTTGCAAGATGTTATAAGACGCATGATATTCAACTTTTACATGGACAAAAAGTTTCCTAATGTAAGAGAATTTTTTTAAAAATTACCACCGAAGATGCCGATATTGCTACATTTTCGGAAAGTACACTATTAAGATGGTTAAAGCAGTTAAATTTTTCGTACAAGAAATTAAATAACAAACCTATTCTAATGGAGCATCCGAAAATGTCAAATGGAAAATTTATTACACAGACGAAACATGGTGTGGCGATAATCATTCGAAAAAATTTGGATGGGTCGAAAAGGTATCTCCAGAAACCGTGGACATATTCGATCATTACCGCGGAGGAATACAAGAAATAAATGGTTATAGAGGAGGAATTGTACGACCATCTGGCTCTGGCCAAAAAGTTATTATTCTACACATAGGAAGCGAAATAAATGTTAAATATTTCATAGGTGAAAAAAAGAAAGCGAAAACTGATTACCACCACGAAATGAACAAGCAACATTACGAGGAATGGTTTCGTCATGTTTTATCTGTAATACCTTCAAAGTCCGTTATAGTAATAGATCAAGCAACATATCACACAATGCTACATCCAGAATATCGAAATCCTACAATTGCATGGAGAAAAAATGATATTATTGCCTGGTTATTAAAAAAAAACGTTCCAATTCCCGATGAAGTTGATGAATTTTCAAAATTGACGAAACCACAACTATTACGATTATCTAAACCGTACATTAATAAAAAAGTTTTTCTATTAGAATCAATTACAAAACAATTGCGTGGAGATGAAGTTAAATTGTTATGGTTAAGAGTGGCGCACTGCGAGTTCAATGCAATCGAGTTGATTTGGGCTTATTTAAAAAATCAAGTCGCAAAGAAAAATGACACTTTTAAAATTAAGGATGTTTTAAATTTATGCATTGAGACTATGAATACAATACCTCCAAATCTATGGGAAAATTGTGCACGCCACAACAAACGTATAGAAAAGAAATATAGAGAAAAAGAACACATTGTAGATGAGGCAATTGAACCTATTATTATTAATATTAATGATAATGAAAGTTCTGATGAATATTTTTCGTCAAATGAAGATTCTTCAGAAGACGAGTTTTGTTACGGTAACACTTGCCAACACTTGCAATGTAGAAGATATGCTGGCCCTAGCAATAGTACAGCGGGAGAACCTCGATACGAATTATTTGGTCTTGGTTATAGATTATTAAGTAGTATTGTAAAACCGGCACAAAATATACGTCTTGGAATTCATCCAGAACCTACTCAAACAACTGTAACTGGACGAGATTATGTAGAAAAATAAAATGTATTGTTTAAAAATTTGTTGCATCGTTTATTAGTAATAACTTCTTTGACTCCTTTCGTACACTGCTTATAGGCATGTCGGTAGGATTACTTGTATTACGTTTGCAAACTTATGAATGCAATTAAAAGAAATTATTTGAAAAATAAATGCAAAAAATAACAAAAATTCGTACTGTGCGCTTAAGCCGTTCCTGTCCTATACGTTTAAAGATGCCTCCCCGCCACATAATGCCGAAGAGGCCCGGCCGGCGTAACCTTCCTCCGCTCCTCACACCCGCGGAAATAGATTCGCGCGGATTGATTTAACTTTCATTATAAAATCGCATTGAGCACTTCATGTACAATGAGGGTTAGGGTTTTATTCAATTTCATCAGGCGGTCAAAATGATGTTAGCTTCAATCTCATACGATAACGCGTTATCGAGATATCACTACTTCACATAATGTAGTTTTTTTTGAAAATGGGTCAGAAAAATCACAAAATAATAACACTGGAATGTTTAGTACACTTTAGCAATGTGTGGTCGAAATTTAGATTTTTTTCGATGAACCGGTCCCGTGTAAAAAAATCGCAGTCGGGCTTCGTCGCCGATCGTCCGAAATCGCGTACATTTTTTCATTATCCCTGTGACAATTGCTATACGAGTGGGAGAAAAAATTTGAAATTACCACACATTATAAACAATTAAATTTCGTGTCCAACAAAGGTGGTCTCGATTTTTTCTACGGAGTAGTTTTTTTGTTATTCGCGTTCAAAGTGAGGGGCAAAAACTTTTGAATCCGATAATAGTTACAATGTGTAGACCCAACAGTAAACGCTGAATGCAACAACGCATACCTATTATAACAAATCAAATTTAACTGTAATGTTGAGAAGTAAACAGTTAATTTGTATATATAACATCAGAGTTTTAAAAATTGATTCTTATAATGTGATATAAAATTTTACAACCAATAGACTGCCTAAGTCTGACGTCACAGAGGTGGGCGGAGCTTATACTTACTCCAAACAATTTCGTTGCTAACCACAGTTCATCACTTAGTTTATTTTAACACTAATGGAAAATTGCTTATGATTTACCGTTAGCAACACAGTTAGCATCTCTGTGACGTCAAGGCTTAGGTTGTCTATTACCTGAGCTACAATACTTAACAACCAACAATAACTTTTTGTGGCCTTGATACAAACAACTCGTTCAAATCGTTATTAAAAATAATTTGAAATTTGTAATAAAAAGGATAAATTAAAGTTAATTGAAGCATATTTTATATATAAGAATAAGCCAATACNCACATGATAATCAGATTTTTCCAGATATGGCGTTTGCAGCTGCAGAAGTTACTGACCGTCCTATTTTACAGGAAATTGATGCCAATCTAGCTGTAGAAAATATTCCCGAAGCTTCAGCTAACGACGGCTTTGATTCACCAGAAAGTAAGAATGATTCTGCTGCAGAAGCCTCTAAAGATACTATAAGAAAAGAAAATATGCAGCCAGCTCTGATATCGACAAGCAAATTTTCAACTGAAGTTCTTCAAAAAATTCAAGACACATAATATCCACCTCTGAGGCAGATTCCAGTTCAAGGAATCAACAGGACGCTGCCAATGAAGTCCAAAATGCTATTTCCCCTAGGGATATCATTCCTATTCCTAAGATAGCTCCTACAGCAGTTAAAAGAAAATATAGAAAAAAGGATCTACAGCAGTAATTCATTTCTTAATGACTTGAAAACAGAAAAACAACAACAGAAAGCTAAAGAAGTGAAAAAAGAAAACTGCTGTAAAAAGAAAAGTTGCAGTTCAGGAATCTTGTGATGAAGAACAAAATATTCAGGAAACTCAGTTGTGCGACGATTCTAGTGACTCAGAAATATTTTCTGATGACGAAGACGTAGAAACTGAAAAAATTGAAAAAATTAAGAAACTTCATGCCGAACCAACTAAAAATCTAGATGTAGAGGATTATGTTCTAGTTGAGGCAACTAATGACAAACACAACAAAAAATTTGTTGCTCAAATTATAGATGTTTTAAAAAATAGTTACGATGTTAAATTTATGAGGCAGTATCGAGGATACTGGAACATATTCGTATTTCCGGATGTCAATGATGTTTCCACCATAACAAGTTGACATTAAAGGAAAACTGCGCCCACAAAAGTTAAGATATGGAAAAATTCAGCAGTTGATAAATGATTTTACGTTTTTTAAAGATTTGTTTTATTGGTATGAATAAATGATTAAAAAAAATTGTTTTGGTTCATTTTGCCCCGCATGAAGATTCATTTTGTCCCGCATGTGGGGCAAAATGAACTTTTTGCACACCTTTCCTAATCTGTTTATATGATTTTACATAAAAGAGATTTTTGTTTCCCTGGTATTAATTTATAAAGCCAAATGGTCCTACAACACCCTGATTGAAAAAATATCCTAAAATACATTTTCGTTTAAGATCTATTTCATGACAAACCTTAACTGGTTCACTTTTCCCCGACTTCCCCTACATGTTTATAAAGCGTTTGATACGTGATAAAACGACAAACGAATAATTTGTCTAACAAAACTCTTTTGGAACAGTTACATTGCAACAACGCATACCTATTATAGCAAATCAAATTTAACTAGAATAATCAAACACTTACATGATCATCTCCACTGATGTTGAGAAGTAAACAGTTAATTTGCACATATAACATCAGATTGTTACCAAAATTAGTTTTAAAAATTGATTCTTATGTGATATAAAGTCAATTTTACAACCAATTACCTTCGACACAATACCCAACAACCAATAATAACTTTTTGTGGACTTGATACAAACAACTGTTTCAAATCGTTATTAAAAATAATTTTAAATTTATAATAAAAAGGATAAATTAAAGTTAATTGAAGCATATTTTATATATAAGAATAAGCCAATACCCCTAATAATGAAACTAGTTTAAACATATTTAAAATTTGCTTTGAATGTTTCCTAACTTCAAATATTTTATGAAACTTAAAACACAATAAAAAACACTTGATTTAGAAAACATTAGACTTAAAAACACTAGATAGATTTATTAAAATAACAAATTAAAAAATGTTATTTGATTTAAAATATATCAAAATTATTATATTAAAAATAATAGATGCATTTGATTTAGGTTAATAAACATTTTTCGTTAAGAAATAAATATATATTTCTCCATTAACACATATTGCATACACAATGTTGTCAATAATTTTTTATTTAATATTGTATATACACAATTATTCTTTTTATTTTCAAACATAAAATTGAGTGCGTCTATAAGAAAATTAAATTAAATGCCATTTTAATTTTGAAACTACACTCCATTCATATTAACATAAAAACTTCAAAATCACAGTCAAACCGCTTACATAAAGAAATACTCCGCCTCATTCTTTCCTATATACAGTTATTCTGACCATATAATCAACACGCAATAGAAATAAATTCAAGATTCATGCGCACATTCAAAAATTTAGACTTATATTTGATTACTTTATTGTATTGACCTTAAAAAATGAAAAGAACACGAAAATAAATCGATTAGAATTTAAAACGTTAATATTTTTTTTACATTAGAAATCATCATCGCCATCAAAACCTAATAGATCCTCTAAAGCGCTACTTAATCCTGACGAATCCGGCTCATAAGTGTCATCACTATCACCGGAAATATCAGTCCAAAAATCCGACTCGCTTCCACTTCCATCATTTCCATTTTCATTACCATCACCATCATTATTTTCAATATTATCGTTATTATCACCAACAGCAGCCATTTCCATCAAAATAGGGCTACCATCGTCGTCATCGTCATCAGATTCATCTAAATCCTCATCATCATCTTCTTCCTCTTGATCATCTTCATCATCTTTCCTTCTACCAACGTCGTAAACACGAACAACAGACTCTTGAACTGAATGATACAAACCTTGATTTTCAACTATTGCAATTTGAGTATCAAATCGATTCACCGCTAAATCATAAATATTTCGTTTAACGTCAATTGTAGCTACGCTAGAATAATCGAGAGCATCTAAAGTTTTAAAACTCGTATCGAAAGTTGTATCTTCTTCAGTATCTTGTTCGATTGCAATCGCATAGATGGCGCTGTTCATTGGCGCAAAAACAACTTGGCATTGATTTAAAGATTGGACCGTTTTTAATAAATGAAACGTACGGATGTCCCAAACTTCCGTGTTTGAGACTATTTCTAAACCGTTTGGATGGAAGACGCCGCTTTGGGTTTGATTTAATTTGTCGAGTTTATGGATTTGTTTACCTGAGGCAACATCAAAAAGCACACCATCCGACAAGACCAGCTCGTCGTTATGACTAAATGTCGCTTTGTTTTTCGTGTAGTGATTGCTTTGACTTGTTGCTATGAATCTTTGGACTTCTAAACCAGTTGATACATCATATATCTTTTGAATAATACGTGATTAATTAAAATTAAAAAAAATTATATTAAAAAAACTCACTGTTGCAGTTGCCCCTTTGGTCCCAATTATTTTTTCTTGGGTTGTTTTACTAAATTCGACATAATCTTCAATATCAAATGCATATCTAAAGAAACAAAAATGAATGAATGGGGAAAAATAAAATAATTATGTACTTACTTCATATCATTGTTATTCATTGCCCATAATGCAGAAAGTGGTTTCCCCCAAGTAGAGCTTGTAAGTAAAAGCTTTCCATCCCTCGAAGGTTCTAAATGAACCACGTAGCTATCGTGCGCTTGAAACATGGTTTCTTCATTTCCGTTATGTAAATTAAATAGGCGAACTTCTCCGGAATAATCTCCAACAACTATACTTTGCCCGCCAGGCTAAATATTTTTTGATTAATTTAAAATAACCATATAAAAAAAACAACTTACCACAAATTGAGCACAAGTAAAAAATCCATCATCAGTTGGAAGTCTAATTACAGTAACGGGACAAAATCGCGAATGTATCAACTTCCGTTCCATCGATCTACAACCATAACCAATTTGTCGTCTTGCAGATCGGATTGCAAAATTCGTTGCGGCGGTTATTCTTGGTTTTGGGTCTGGACATTTGTGTGGTCTAAAAAATATTTTCGATCAAAATAAAATAAGTACGAAGGATTTCAAGGTGGGTGTNAAAGGACACACAGTACAGAGAGCTGTGGTTAAGGGTTGCCCACAAGGTGGGGTACTCTCACCGCTTCTCTGGTGCTTAATAGTTGATGATCTCATTCGTGAGTTAAATAATAAATATCTCTTCACAGTTGGTTACGCAGACGACGTGGCTATCTTGTTAAGAGGTAAACCTGACAATTTTCTTTGTTACAGAATGCAGCAGGCACTTAAACTCGTTGAACGATGGTGTGAAGAACATACCCTCTCTGTCAATCCTAAAAAGACAGAGACTGTTCTCTTCACTAAACAGAAGAAACTGGGACACTTAACGCCACCCAATTTCTGCAATAATCCATTAACCTTTGCTCCAAAGGTGAAATATCTGGGTGTTATCTTGGACAAAGGACTAACTTGGACATCATACATTAGTTGCAAAACCAAAAAAGCAACGATTGTACTGACCCAGTGCCGAAGGGCTATTGGGAATACTTGGGGATTAAATCAGAGGGTTACAATGTGGATCTACACTTGTGTGATAAGACCCATGGTACAGTACCGCCCAGAAGTATATTATAATTTGGTTTTTCCCACATAACATTTCTAATACTGGACGAATCTTCACACAATTTTCAGCCAATGCATAACAAGTGAATACAATTATATTATATTCCAGAGGATACAATAAATGCCAAAGCATAGAAGCGTGACAAATTTCTTTTCAAAATCGCGTTATTTTCACGTGATATTTTCTGAAAGTTATGAAATATTATTCTTAAAAATGAGTAAAAAGAAAGGAATTCGAGATTTGTCGGAATCGACGCAGAAGGCCATTATATAGGATGCACACAGATGCAACTCACCAGGCAGATATCATCGGTACTGAAGACGTGGAGGACACTTGGTTGCTTCGTAGCGAAGAAACTAAAATGATAGACCTCAAATCACCACCCGAGTGGAGGACAGCGACGGCGCGATGCTGTGCAGAGCGAACACATGGCTCACGACGGTGGACATTGGAGGAGAATTGTGGTGTTCTGCGCAGTGCCAAACGTCTACATCGACGGTCAAGAGGAGGCTGAAGGATGTAGGACTCATTGGTCGACCTCCGGTAAAGAAATCACTCGTTTCAGCTAAGAATAAGAAGGCGCGCGTGGAATAGGCGAACGCGCCCCTCAATTGTACCCGGCAGCAGTAGGACCTGATGGCATATCGTGTATACATTCTTCGGACACTCGCTTCGATCCCAAGTACCTGCTTCTCACGATGAAGCATGTCAGTGGTTCCGTCATGGTGCTTCAGCACTGCTATCACCGGCCCTCTGGTTCGCATTACAAGCACCATGGACCGCCAGAAGTACAGGAACTGTCTGTAAGATGACATGCTTCCATGGCCACGCAAAAACATGGGTCGGTGTTGGCTGTTTCAGCAAGACAATGATTCCCAGCACACATCCAGGAATGTCCAACTGGATCGCTTCCGCTGACGAAACTGTTGCAGCTCCAACAGCTGCAGGCGAAGTGGGTAAAGATCGACCATTCCACCATCCATGCATTGATCGATTCCATGCCCAGATGTCAGGCTGTGATCAACAGGATGGGTTACCCAACCAAGTATTAGCTTGCTCTACATGGTTGATTGCCGTTCACGATTGTTATGTTGATATTTCTTGAGTTATGATTTATTTTTGTTGATATCGCTTTATAGCGTATTTTAATAAAAATAATTTTTTAATAACTCAAAGTTGAAACGGATTCTTCTACATAAGTCTATGTCATGTGAAATACATTGCAAAAGCTATGGTGAAAAAATGGTCTGCTTTCATAGAGTTTCAGAAAAGTGATGTGGGAAAAACCAAATTATCATATACTTTTGAGCGGTACTGTAGCTCACGGAGCCATACTTTGGTGCTCAGCACTAAAACATGGATATAAGGCTAAATTGCTGCATCAATTGCAACGACTAGCCTGCCTGTTAATTACAGGCGCCATGAGACCGACACCTACGATCGCGATGGAGACTATACTGAACGTACTGCCTCTAGATATTTTTATCAGGGAGGTGGCCGTGATGGCATTGCTTCATTAAATTTAATTCATTTTTTCTTTTTTACGAACCTTGTCGTTAGCGAGCAATAAAGCGTATATATTACTAAGGTTCTGAGTATCAGTTTTAAAGTTAATAGAATCCTCCGTATAATTAATATGTACCATTTCTAAAAAGAATCTATTAAAATAGTTAGGTTCAGTATCCAGTATTTTAACATTATCAAAATCAAACCGGTGACCCATGTCTGTAGCATGTTGGGATAAAGCACAAGTAGACTTTCTAAGATTGCAATCACTTTTACGTTTGGAGACCCTACGTTTCAGCCACTGATCCGTTTGACCAACGTATTTGCTATTACATGCACCACAAGGAATGCAGTAAATAACACCAGATTTTAATTGGTGTTCTGTCTTGTCCTTAACATTCGTGAAAAACTTTTGTAACTTGTTATCGTAACAGTCAACAATCTGCATATCGTCCAGGGAATTTAGTACCCGTTTTATTTTTTCACTTAAATTAGTGACAAAAGGAACTTTTTTATATTTAACTATGGTGTTTTGTTCATTCATCCTGTTGTTGTTAAGGTGATTATGTATATTTGATGAAAACAGAAGTTTGTTAAGCAGATTGGACGGATAACCATTGTTAATAAATGTGTCTCTCAAGAAAGTTAGGTTATCTTTAAGGAATATAGGATCACAAATCTGTGTCACTCTGTGCTTCATCGCCAAAACAGTTGAAACCTTATGTCCAAAATTATGATCTGATTGAAAATGCAAATACCTTCCCGAATAAGTTGGTTTAACATACCAATTGAAAAGAATGACATTATCTTCATTACGTATTAATTTCGTATCAAGAAAAGGAATACTATTGTCTTTCTCAACCTCTATGGTAAATTGAATGTTCGGATGAAAGTTGTTAAATGATTCTAAAACTATGTCGATATCATCCCTGTGTACACCCACAATTAAGTCTTCAACATATTTCTTAATGAAATCAATTCTAAAAGTTGTGTTATTTAATTTTAAAACTTCATCAATTACAAAATCCATAACTAGTAAGGCTAAGACCGGAGAAATTTTTGAGCCCATCGGGGTACCTTCAACCTGGTGATATACTACGTTATTGTAGGTGAAAATGGAGGTATCAAAAATCAACTTTAAACCCGACAAAAAAGTGTTCTCATTCCAACTGCAATGTTGCGCAATCAACTCCCATTTATCCACGACAATCTTATTGACCAAATCTAACGAAATAACCGTAAAAAGGCTCACGACATCAAGTGAAATCAAAATGTGATCCTGCGGAAGTTTGTAACCTTTAAAGTCATTAACAAAATCAAAAGTATTACTGATATTGTAGTTAGTCCTCTTGCTGAAAGCTGAGCTTAGCAAATCCGCCATGTATCCCGACAAACCGCACGACGCCGTGCCGATAGACGAAATGGTAGGTCGTAATGGTATTCCGTCCTTATGGATCTTAGGTAAGAAGTAAGCCTTAGCCAGAATAGAGTTATGTTTAGTCAACCTCTTAAGTTCACCATCATTGATGAATTTCTGTTCATACAGATGTTTAATAAAATTATTAATTTTGTTTTGTATGTTATTAAGAGGGTTTTTGTTGAGGACCTTATAGACTTTTGTGTCTCCCAACATTTCTGTGGCACCTCTTAGATAAGAATCTCTATCCATAAGAACTGTAGTAGCCCCCTTATCAGCTTTTCTTATAATAACTGAAGGGTTTTCTTTAATGAACTTTTTTGTGTTAATTAACATTTCATTTAGTCTACCGTGCAACCCATCACACGCTTCGCGGGAACATTGATAATTAGTGATAATATTCGTTAATTTAGCCCTTACTATAAGTTAATAAGGGCCAGACTTTCCTCGAAGGAGGAAAGTAAAGGTGGTCTTCATACCTAAAAGTGGTAGGCGTGCAAACGCGGACCCCAAGGCATACAGACCAATTAGCCTAACTTCATTTCTCCTCCAAGGGATGGAAAAGGTAATCGATCAATACCTTAGGAATGGAGTGCTTGTCACTAATCCACTCCACCCTAGCCAACATGCTTACCAGAAAGCAAAATCAACAATTACTGCTCTCCATGCTTTGACCAGCACTTTAGAGGAGGCAATTGCAACCAAAGAGATAGCCCTATGTGCTTTCATAGATATAGAGGGTGCGTTTGATAACACCTCATATGAATCTATAGAGAAGGCTCTAAACGTAAAAGACATACATCCGTCGACAATCAAGTGTTGTATAGCCATGTTGAAAAGTCGGCAAATCACAGCCAGTCTGGGAGGCGAGTCGTTGACTATAAAGGCGCTAAGAGGATGTCCCCAAAGAGGAGTGCTATCACCTCTATTATGGTGCCTGGTAGTTGATGACTTGATGAACACCCTAACTAAAAACGGATTTAAGATACAAGGGTATGCTGATGACCTGGTAATCACAATCCGAGGTAAATATGATTCAATCATAACTCAGCTAATGCAGAAAGCCCTACTACTCACCAGTACTTGGTGTAGAAGCAATGGGCTCAGCATCAATCCCAATAAAATCGAAATAGTCCCTTTCACTCGGAGAAGGAAGCTACAAATAAAAGCACCCTCCATTGAAAGCAGAACTATTAACCTCAAAACAAAAACTAAATATATAGGGGTAATACTTGACAGTAAACTAAACTGGAACTCACACTTAGATAAGGTGAGGAAAAAGGCCATCATGGCAAACCAGATCTACCGCAGGCTCCTAGGAAGGAACTGGGGTCTCAAACCACGAATGGCTCATTGGACCTACGTAGCAATAATCAGACCCATGGTCGCCTACGCCTCATTGGTTTGGTGGCCAAAAACTAAACATAAGACAGCACAACAACAGTTAGCACAAATCCAGCGGTTAGCATGTCTTAACATAACGGGTGCAATGAGATTCTGTCCGACGGCTGCTTTGGAAGCCCTACTCGGTCTCACACCGCTCCATTTATATATACAAAAGGGGGCAGCCTTAAGTGCCCTATCACTGAAAACAGTTTCTTCACTCAAGTTGATGCAGGGTAACCTCAGAGGACACCTCGAGATCCTCAAGGACCTATGTCTAAATCACCTATTTGAAATTAAAACGGACCTCATACCGACGGAATACAATTTCAACCAACCGTAGAAGGTCATATTTAGAAGCAGGGATAATTGGGCGAAGGGAAGGCCTCAACTAAAAAGAAGAGCCCTAGCCTGGTACACCGATGCTTGAAAGACAGTAAGATCTGGATTAGCTATGGGCATCAGTGGATCAAAAAGTCACATTAAATTGCCCCTCAGCTCGGACTTAACAATTTTCCAAGCAGAAGTTCTTGCTATAAACTTCTGCACCGCTTTGAACCTACAGAAGGGACAAAAAGGTGCATCCATAAACATTTTCACAGACAGTCGGGCCGCCTTAAAGGCAATTCAGGCCTACACGTGTGGCTCCGCACTGATCAGAGAGTGCACCAACAACCTGAGAGAACTCGCTAGGGGCAATGATGTTACCCTATGGTGGGTTCCAGGTCACAGCAACATTGAGGGCAATGAGAAGGCCGACAAGCTGGCCAAAGAGGCAGCAAACACGCCCTTCATTGGACCCCAACCTGGATGTGGACTACAAAAAAGCCACCTAAAACAAATAATCAACAACTGGGAGGCTTCAAAGATAGCCTTACGCTGGAAAGAACTTCCAGGTCACAGACAAGCGAAGAGTATGATAACTCCGTCGCAAAACAAAACCAAAGAGGTTTTATGCCTCAGCAAAGGGGATCTAAGAACGCTCTCAGGCTACCTAACCGGCCATGTGCCCCTAAAATACCACCTCTTCCACATTGGACAAGCTGAGGATCAAACTTGTCGACTATGCAACGACGAGTCAGAAACTGCTGAACATACACTGTGCAATTGCGTCGCCAGAGGCCGTCTAACGATAAGACACAACATCTTCGGTAAAACTCCCCTGTTACCTACCGACATAAAGGTTCAAGACCTCAGGACAATACTAAGGTTCATTAAGGACCTAGATTTGCCCTAAACCTTTGGAGGGTTAAAGTTACAATAGATCTTATAGGTCGCGGTAACGAGAGGGGCCGCTCTCCTCAGCCCAACAGCAATAATAATAATAATAATAATGGTATTTGATATGTTAAACGTTTTTTCAAAAGACACATGGCTTAACCTGAAAGTTTCAAACTCTGGGTCTAATGTTAGTTCTAGTAATAATTAGTGCTAGTGTTAGTTCTAGTTTAAGTTATAAATTGTTTTTCCTTACATAAATAAATTGAATTGTGGACAAGTCGCCATTGGATTTTTACAAAGGGCATGTTGATTAGTTAAATATTCGGTGATGATTGAATCTAAAGTGATTCGATGATCAGCTTGATTGGTATCTTCGTTAGCTACTGGTAGATTAACTTTTATGTGAGGTTCATTTGAAATTTGTTTTTGTAGACGAGAATTTTGTTGTGGAGTGTTTTGTACTGATAGAGTTTTTCTAAAAAAAGGAAATTAATATCGTTTTTTAAAAAATTAATATCATACAAACTTTATTATTTTAATTGCAGGTGATGTTGTAACTCCATTGATTTGATTACTAATCACAGAAGAATCCGGAATTTGGGAATTATTACATCTGTGTGTTGTTAACGGTGAAGAAAATGATAATCTCATCTAAAAATTACATAAAAAAATGTTCACAAAAATTATTCACAAAAATTAATTTATTTTTGTTAAAACTTACTCTATTTGGAGTTCCAGGTGTGGTGTATCTAAATTTAGATGGTTGATGAATCGCATTTGTTAATGTCATATTAGCTAAGTGAGCTTCTTTTTGTAAAATACTAGCTGTATCAGGTAAACCTTTTGAAACCAAATGTTGGTGAATAAGTTGAAGTAATTGACGATCATTAAATTGAATTTTTGTTTGTGCAACAACATTGGCCTAAAAAATATAAACGATATATCTACTTAGTTTTAATTTTTTAATGTTTACCCTATGAATATCTATTAATGAAGCATCTAATTCGTTTCCAACTCTCTTCGTTTTTCCTGATAATCGCTCAATTAATTCCAAAGCGTACTTTTGAAAAAGAACATGTTCTTGCCTTTTCTCTTGTAAAATTGGATCTCGCATTAAAGCTAAAACAAAAAATAAATATAAAAAATTAATTTATATATTTTTAAACTTACTTTGAAGATGTCCATTAGTAAACATGGATAACTTGGAAATGATTTGTCTGGCAGTATCTGAGCGTGCTAATCCAGCTAAAGCCTTACACGCTAAAGTTCGAATACAATCGGCGTCTGTTATTGGAGTTTTTGTGTTCATCAATTGTAATAAAACCTGATTGAATAAAATAAGTGTAAAGAAACGAAATCAAAATTAAAAACAAAATTACCATGATTCCACTATTTGATCGAACACTTTCCCAAACTTTTTGTATCAATTCTTCCGAACTTTTCATTTTTGTTTTTTTACTTGGTGATGGAGTTGCGTTTGAACTAAATCTACCTATACTTCCCCCAACCTTTTAATTCAAAAAGAAAGGATAAGATAATATTTAAAAAAAATATTAGATAGACTTACCCGAACTATTGGGGCGCAAACACAATTAACAATAACCCTTAAAGCGGCTTTTTGAACATCAGGATCTGCTACGATTTCACCATCAGCGGCCCCTAATATTATATTAATGCCTAGAAAAGAAAATATTAATTAATAATAATTTTCGAAAAAACAAAAATTAATAGGACTGTTCCTTTATAAATTATTATATGCAATATGTAATATTTATTTCGACATTTAAATATAGAAAACAAACCCATAAATAAAAGAATAGAAATTACAACAATTAATATAAACAAAAACGTTCTTTTTATAGTTCTAAATTCTGTTTTGGACGATGCAAATTTTGGAATTGAATATTAATAGTTGATATCCCAATTTTCTTGCAAAGGTCTTACACAAGAAATTCAGAAACGTTTGAAATTTTGAGTAATTATGAGGTAGTGATGGGCACTATCGAATAATTCGATATCAACAAATTTATTCGAATGTTTGAATAAGTATCATACATTTGTTGATTTCTAAAACAAATTATCACGCAAACGGATAACTTAAATGAAAATAATAATACTTTATTACTCCATTTTACAAAAAAGCGTAGAGTGCAACAATTTAACAATAATAAAATTACATTGTAATATAATACAAATTGAATTCAAACATAACATTGCAAAAACATGTCAATGGTATACATTGGATCCGTGACAACAGCTCTCAAACTTCTCTGGAATCTTAGAACTGACAGGATCCTTGTACCCTCCGAAATATGATTAATATGATGTAAGGCGCGTTTTTAGATAGCAGTTTGCCTTCCCACGTGAGTCTCGAGGATGTGATATTTCATATTTTTTGAAAAATTCAAAGTAATTCTTCCTAACCAATACGGCACATTCCAGAATATAAATTCCATACAAGGTAGGTATTTTATAGTCTTTAAAGTAACTTCTACAGCTATCAGTATTTTTTAGACCAAAGATTGCTCTTACACACCACTTCTGTAGTATGAAGATTCTGACAACCAATCCGCTGCAAACCAATCCCCAAATTTATTCAGATCCACAGTAAGTGATTTCTGGATTTCATAATCAGTGCTACACCTCGTCACGGTCGTTGTATCATCCGCAAACATTATCGTAATGTTGTTCGTTACTCGTGGTAAGTCATTCACATACAGGAGGAACAATAGAGAACCCAATATAGAAGCCTGAGGTACTCCCAGCTTGACTTCCCTTCAAGCTGATCTTATTTCTGTTCCCTGTTTATTGTGGGCAACTACACATTGTAACCTCCCTGATAGATAGGATTTCATCCATGACAAGCTAGCACCTCTAAAGCCAAGTCTCTCCAACATGGTTAAAACGATTGAGTGATATACACTATCAAAGGCTTTTGTAAGATCCATGAAAAATGCTGTCGTGGCCTGTTTTCTATTTAATCCCAAGATGGCAATATTCGACCGATGCTTGGGCAAAATAGAGGAGCAGTTAAACCTTTACACATTGTTAATGTCGAGGAGGAGATCAGTTTGGCCTAAGTACTAGGATACTTGCAGAGCAACATGGGGTATCACAATCCACAATTTGGCGAATATTGAGGCACAACCAACTCTATCCATATCACGTGCAACGTGTACAAGCCTTACTACCAGTGGATCATCCCCCTCGAGTACAATTTTGCTGGTGGTTGACATCAGCATCAGTTAAACCCAAACTTTACTAATAACTTAACCAATTATCCATGTTGCAAGTGAAAAATATAAAAAAATTCAAAAACAGGATTCGAGAACACAAAACTAAAGCTAACTCTAATATATTTAAACATCACATAGAAACAGGACATCAAATAAATTATAAAAAGGTCGAACTCCTACATTCTTGCAACAAAGGTTCAAAACTTGATTTTTTGGAAATTTTAGAAATAACTAAAATTAAAAATGATAATGAATATACACTTCTTAACCAACAGCTTCAACTTTTTCAAAAACCTTTATTTTCATTTCTAAAAGGCTTTAACCTTAAAATTTAAATTTAAAGTTTAAAGATTTTTCAAGTTTTTTTTTGTTTTCCGATTTCCTATTACGCGTCCACTTTGCATGCATGTTATCCAACGACAGTCTCTTCTTCTCTCTCCGCCAATATGGTTGTTTCGTAACACCGAACACATTAAATAAATTCTGATTTTTCTCCAATTTTTCATGACCATCAGTCTCTAAATGTAAGTTTTTCAAAGCTTTTTCATATCATTTTATATTAATTTATACAGGCTGATTTATAACACACGGTACTAGAGGTAAAACTGAAAAGATTTTCTTAATAATGTTTTGTTAGAAGCTTAATAGTTACATAGATATCGCATGTTAATTTTTTAAATAATTTACGTCCATTTTTGAAAACCGCTGATATTCAGTAAAGAATAATTAAAATACTTGTCCGTTGCTAAGTAACCAAATCAACTGGATTGGCAGCAATAAAAACATGGTATCAGCAGTTCATAATAAACAAACATCACCGTTTGAGCGTTTTAACAAATTTTTAAATAGCCGTAACTGCTATATTATAAAGATTTTATTATTTTTGTTAATTATGCATTGTTTAAGTAATCCCGAAATATTCGCAGTTCGAATTTAAGCGTAGTGTAATACCGTATAGGGTAAGAAATGCTCGGCCATTACTTCAACTTTAACGTTCTATATCTTTGTGATTATTAAGTTGTGGTCAAAATTTATTAGGAAAACATCTTCAATTTGGCTCCTAGTACCTATCCTTTTAGTCTGCTCCGTATGTTATAAACCACCCTGTATATATTTTTAGTGTTTCACATTTTTATAACAATCCACGTTTCACACTTTTGTAACTTTAATTTTCATCGTTCAATTTAACTTAACTTTTATAACAATTTAAATTTAACTTTTTCGATTCGACTTAAAAAAATTTTCAATTTTTATAAAAAACTTTTCAATTTTTTACGTACATCTTCTTTAACAATAAATGTCATCATTAAATAAATCTCTTCTCGCCTATTAGTTTCTCTGACAGTAAGTTGTTGTCCTATTTTAATATTAGTATATATTTTTAATTATTTTTTTAATTCTTATTAGCTTTCGGCTGATGATGGAATGTTGATTCCGAAACCGGTTCCGATTTATATATTACAATAAAGCAAGTTAGAAGTTTTTATCTGTTTTTGAATTTTTTTACTAATAACATTTTACGTTAACGCATTATTGGGCCGTGGAGAATCCTCATATTACTCGCCGAACACATTTTCAACAAAGAGTTTTTGTGAATTTATAGGCTGGAATTGTGAACGATCTACTATTGGTCCTTTCATTCTGGGTAATCGATTAATGCACGATAATTTACCGGGGCTGCTCGAAGATATTACGCTTGATGTTAGACAAACTATGTGGTTTCTTCAAGATGGTGCTCCACCACACTTTTCAATGGAAGTGCGACTACATCTAGATAATGTGTTTCCCGGAAGGTGGTATAATCGCCTGGCCACCCTGATCGTGCGACCTCAATCAATTATTTTAAAATGTTTTATGTATTCATCATTGAAAGTAAATTTACCCGATATCTAGGAAATTAAAAAACTTTTGCTACAATTTTTTTCACCTATTAGTCATTATTTGTCATGAGGAATAAATCCCCAAGTTTATGCGTATAGGTTGAGAATCACCCTGTATAAACTTGACATCAGAAAATTTATTACGTAAATGTTTGGGGTCAGAACACGGCAGAGCTGGGCAAAATACTTCCCACAAGTATTTTAAATACAAAATACTAAGTACTAAATTTAAGAAATATTTAAAGTATTAAGTACAAATACTTTCGATAAAAAGTATTTTAAATACTAAGTACTCGTGTAAAGTATTTAAATACTTTTCAAAATACTTTTTCAAATACTCTCTAATTCATTTGAAAAATAATAAAATGATTAATAAAAAATAAATTAATCTTTTGTTTGAAATTGGGTCAAAATCAATTATTGTAACTTATTAGTGGTACACTTTATTAGCTTTTAATAACGTCAACATTTCAAAATTATTATCTGATAGTCCGTGTCGTCGCGGCGTATTAATCATCGTGGCAAATGAAAACAAACGCTCCACTGCCGCAGAAGAT